GCAATGGATGATCGAGACTATCTCTATCACATCGGCATTTGTATTAGTTTGCTTTGTTGACGTCACACACAGATGCGATGCGCTGCAATGCGATGGAACGGTCTCGCTTTGCGTGCCTCATGTTGATTAATTTATTATATGCGTTGTTTACGGCATGCGTAGCAGCAGCTTAGCTCTTTCGAGCTTAAACGATTTGTGGGGTCCGTGCGAAATATCTCTGTAACTTGATTCTATCGATCGCAGGCAAAGCGAGAGTCGAATTATGTAAGCATCGGAGAGCATCAACGAACGAAACAAATAAATTAAGTGCAATGCCAATTGTATTGGAATTATAATACGAAAACAAACATTTGTCTATTTATAGAATCGTTTGATTCTGGTCATAGGGTCAATTGTTTACTTTGATCCAACTAGATTAAACAATCTATGCACAGTGTGCCGATGTGTTGTAGCTGCTGTTGCGCTGTTTGTGTGTGTATATCAAATACGCTATAGGCTGAGATAACGCCACTCACTTAGACAAAAGTGCGTAGAGCTGATGTAATGCAATTAGAGAAGGAGTGCGCGCATCTGTGTACGTATGTGTTTGTGTGTGTGTGCAGTGATTTGATGCGAAAAGAATTTGCAATCCAAAAAAACCGGATCGTTTGTCACTGACATGTAGTGCCAATGATAGCAAAAGCGCCACTCCAAATATTTGCCCCAGCGATTCTATGCTTTTTCTTCTTTTTCCTTTCTCTCTCTCTCTCTCTCTCTCTCTCTCTCGCTCTCGCTAGTGATATTCTCGCTCAAAAAGTGCACTATGCGTCTATAAATAGCAATGATCGAAAAAAAAGTTAGTGTCGCGCTAATTATTATGATAATTAATAGCTTTTCCATTCCTAGAATTCGTATTTAGCGCATTCGATCGATCGATCGCAAAACGTCACTTCGTCGTAATTATTTCATACGGTTGAATGAACCAATGTTATTATTATTACAGACGGCTTTTGGACGAAGTGAATGTGTATATTAATAGAGAGGAAAAATGCATAAATTGTGCCCAAATTTCACCTTGAATAAATCGGATTAGAGTGACCGAAATTCGTTATCGGCAAATTTTGAAATGGTTCCGTTTAGTGTGCGTTCTATATTGACCATGCACGCACTCGTAGCTCAATTCTAGGCTTCCGATCAGTATAACCATCACAAATAGAACGAAACATAAAATCGAGAAAGAGAGAGAGGTGGGGAAGAGATAGCGAGAAACAACGAAATCAGAATCGAATGTGAAGATAAAAACATACGCAAAATAGAATGAGAATGATGACGGCGATCGGAAAGAAATCAGGTCACAAGTCTGTGAAATGAGTTTTTGGGTATATGTGTGTATGCGCGATCCATTCATTTCATTTCATTTCATTTATCATAACGCGAATTAATTATTGTTGTATAGACACTGTGGAACAAAAAAAAAATAAGAAGAAGGCACACATTAAGAACTGAATATAACAATAAATATCTCTTTTTTTATTCTCTTAAATGTTCCCCACACACATTCGTAGTTGTCGACCTTTCTGCGAGCAGAACGAAAATCAGTGAGAATAGCAAAAGAAGGATCGAAAGAATGAAACGACATGAAGCCGGCGATACCATTAATCTTGTCGAGAAAAAAAAGGCGGCAGCGCGCATCGATGTAGAGAATTTGAAACTTTTTTTTCAACTTCGTCTTTTTGCCTCGCCTTCAGCATCTATGAAGCTTTATTAAAAAAAGTCGCTATCTCTCTCGCATACGAATAACACTACTTACCCACTTTTTCGACAGTTTTCTAATTGGTTGTAGATTGTCTGCTGCGCGTTGTGATCGTTTTTTGCTGCTATTCCGCAGTTCCCGCGTCCGCCGTTGTTCTTGTTTTGTGTGATTCATGTGTTCTTATCCTTTCTTTCTGTCTATTCCATCGCGCATCGTCTTCTTCATTTTTGTACTTCATTTCAATTGAGAATGTCTTTTTGCTACGAGCTTTTTTTTCGTTGCTATTTCTCTGCCTGTTGTTGCTGTTATTCACGCAAGATTCTCTTGACTTGTTAATGCGGTCGGTTTTGAGAACGAAATTAGCAGAGTTGTATTCCGTGGATTTTATACGCGGAGTGCCAAAGCTATTTGATCACTCTGAATGTTTTTTAATTGGCAAAGTGGAACTTTTTGGACCTTGACACTGATAGAGTCAAGTCACTTTTGGCATAAGAAAAAAACCATTCATTCGTTGCGACGATTTCTTTTTTTTTTTTTCCTACCCAACAGCGAATCATTCTTGTGAATATATTTCAAAATAAACGCTTGTACTACTATGTTTGATCTAATGTGCCCGTATCTCAATCACTGCTTCAATCAGATTTGGTATGTGTCTTTCTTTAGAAACGATTTGTGTCGCAATTTCAAACAAAATCACACACTCACAGTTTGTAAAAGTGAACGAAAATCGTAGCAAGAGAAAATGAACCAAAACAAAACTGATTACAAATTATTTTACTCGCGAATTTCGAGTATTTTTACATGCGCCGCTCCATCAAACGATAACAAATGAAAACCAATCCCGTACGTAATGTCAAAAGAAAGAAGGAAAAAACGGCGACACAGCAATCATAAATAGATAGCCGCGAAATGAGTGGAAATCTTTGTTTAGTTTACCTTATCATCTCACAAACGAGACTGCTTTTATTTTGAATGATATTTAAAACAAATTGTGAAAAAAATTTGATCCGATCCGGTTGAACTGTAGCAAAAAATTGTTAACACTCAAAATTATAACGAAGTCAATTTTCCTCACATGGGCAACATTCGTGGATTCAGGAAACGAACCATGATTCTTAGTAGGTTGAATTTGTAAAAGCTACTATAAACCCACGAATCATCACGTTTTATTGAAATAGAAAGTTGCAAAACATTAATTATTCACTGATAACGAACAAACATACCAAAGCGTCACCCAAATCATTAGCCTTAGTGCAAGCAGTTAAATTGCTGTGCAATAGATAATCGTCGCCATGGCTTATCATGTTATTCGCTCGGTATTTCTGTTTGGTTTGCACCATTTTTTCATAGAACGATTGATAACCGTGGTGCACTATATAACACCCCGTCAAGGCGAAAGGATTAGAAGTGATCGTCGAAGGGAAAAAGTTTTTTTGACTCTCAAGACTTGCTTACGAGGTGATCATTTGATCGATTGCACGGTGTCAGACTTTGTGTCTGACGCTTCATTAAAATTGCCATTCAGCCGTTGTGACTTGTGCACTTTTTTTGCATTTCACCATTCAGACAAATCTAGACATTAGAAACGCACGCGTAAATGATAATTTACTCATTGTGACGGTGTTAAATGTCAAATATGCCGGCCTCTAGAGATTATCCTGAACGTAAATATTTCCATTTTTTACACTTTATTCTCTCTGCATCTGGCCGTTCGTGTCTCTATCAGCAATCAATTTTCTTTCTTTCTGTCTTTCTTTCTTCCGAACGAACGATCGTACGTGCACGGCATGCTCAATGTGGTCGAAACGATTCGCCAGATGTGTGATAAATCTGCCGATATAAATCACACAGCTGTGAGAATCTGGTAGCATTGGAGCATGCGCGCATCACAATTTGACCTTGGATCACACACACGCTCTCTATCACTATGTTGTTGCCGCTTGCTCAGTAAAAGTGCTCACTTTATTTATGGCTGTTGCAATTGTTCATGCACATATTTCATATGAAAGCAAAATAGATTTTGATTTGTAGACCGTAAACAATTATGACCGATGCATCGTTTACACAGTGCTAACTATGATGATGATTCATGTTCATTGAATTGACTTTGTCTTGACTCTCTCTCTCTCTCTCTCTCTCTCTCTCTCTCTTTCTGTACCTATGGACATAATGGAAAATTTATGTATGGCTTTGATGTGTCAGTCACACTTGGTGATTGCTAACGACCTTTCTTCGTCTTGTTATTATTACCGTTACATATTTTGCATTCAAAAATGTTCACTTTCGATTCCGTTGTCGATAAAACGATTGCATAATTTTTTTTTTTTGCATAATACAAATATTCCCCATGATCGGTGTTTGTTTCACAAGTAAACGCGTCTTCTCGATTTGATGATTTGTATTCCGCGCTGCCATTTGTTGCTCAGGTTCTGACACGATTAACTCACATCGAGACTTTGACTTTGTTTATTGCGCGCGATGTCTCGATTTATGCAGAAATATTGAGAAAAAAAATAACCATTTATACCCAATAAATAGCCGTCGCGTTGCGCCATCCTTATCGGAACAGTAACATCGAGTTCACATTTGTTTATCATTGGCAGCGATTGCATGCTTGTGCTCCGTATACATACTTTTTATTTTATTTTGGGCCAAGCAATGTCCAAATTGATCAATTTAAAAGCAACAAATGGAAAAAAAAGAAAGAAAATAAAACACCATAAATAAATAAATGGCATTAAAAATCAATGGAAATGGATTTTTAGGTCTGATTTTGGTTATATTTAAATTGTAATTTTCGGTTGTTTAAATAACGAAAAGTTATACGACCAAAAAAACCATAACAACAACAATGGTAACGGCAACGACACCAAACACCGCCGCTGAAATACGAAAATAAGTCAAGAGGAAAAGCACAACGAAGAGAAAAGAGCGAAAAATGACATTAAGCGTCTCTTTTTTAAGTGGGTCACTGTGTTACTAAATCAAGTAGTTCGTTGAATTTATTTTATTTCGACGTGTATATTTTTTTTTGAATCCCATTCAAAAATATATACATACATATGACACGGACAGAATCGAAAATCAAAGATAACCATAATTTTGAGTACGTTGTTACGATGAGAACAAGTGTCAATTTAGTTTCAAGTGGTTCACCACATTTGCTTGAACAAAATTAATAAAAGAAAAAGAAGCGATCCCGTATCACTGAAAAAAAATGTCAAAAATTTACTAATAAATGGAAATTGTCTGGTTTTATTTTCCACAGAAGCATCATAAACATTCCGCACGAAATTCGTCTCATCGCTAAAATACCACCAAAGAGTCATTATCGCCGTCAAGTGTACAACAGTGCACGTCATTTTGCGCGCGAACACTACATCTACGAATATGTTTTTCCGGTATTTGAAAAATTCCAACGGCTTCATTTGAAGGAACAGTACATTTTTAAGCACTATCCAAGATGTGTGGCCGCCAGTTCGGTGTACGAGGACGAGTATGTGCTGTTGAATGATTTGAGTTTGCAAGGTTTCCAAAATTCCGATCGTCCGACCCCATTGCATTTCGATAAGTGTGTGGCTGTGCTAAAAACCATTGCCAAATTCCATGCAATTTCATTTGCGATGAAAGATCAACAGCCCGAAAGATTAGCCAAATTGACATCAAAACTCACGGAAATCATGTTCACCAAACCAATCAATAAATCGTTTGAAAATTTCTTGAAGAAAAATGTGGAATACTCGTTAACCACATTGGATCCCGAAAAGGACAAAGTCATTATCAAAAAATTGCTGGAATTCCGCGAAAACTATGCCAGTTTCATGGTTGAATGCTGTGCCGAAAAAGAAGACGCTATCGTACTCCATGGTGACTGTTGGATCAGCAATATGATGTTCCGTCGAAATCATGTAAGCACATACATACAAACACAAACATTTCTAGACCGTCTCCACACGCAAACAGCACTCGGCTGTTGCATACATTCCGGCGTTTTACAGTGTTTGACTGAAATGGTTTTTGTTTTTTTTTTTCTTCATTACAGAATTCACCTGACAAATATGACATAACATTCTTGGATTGGCAAGTGGTTCGCAGCGGCACAGTGGCTATTGATCTGTCATATTTCATCTTTTGCTGCACAGACGCTGAAGTGAGAAAACGTTTGCCCGAATTAATGCGAATCTATCACAATCACTTGATTCAGCGAATCGATGAGTTTGGCAGCAATGGTGCAGCACTGTTCCCATATGAGAAGCTTGAATGGCACATGAAGAAATACGCCAAATTTGGATTAGGTGTGTTCAAACTTGAATCTCGTGTTTTTTTTGTGGCAATTTTGTTTCTTTCTTTTCCGTTGATCTTTTTTGGCACATTTTTTTCTGCTATTGTTCTTCAAACATACTAACCAGTGTATTCGTTCGTTTAGGTATGGCGTTGATCACATTACATGCAACATGTTGCAAGTCAAGCGACTTAGCCGATGTACAAACCGGATTGGATGAAATGGATTTGAATGATATCGATAAATATACGTTGCCATTGCTGGCGAATCCGGCCTACAAAAAGCGAATGGCCGATGTTTTGCGTGATTTCCAACGGCTGGACTATTTCTGATTGCCCAACTCTAAGTTTCACCCGCCACACACACAAGCGCACCCACTCACGGGACGTGACAAAACATACAAACGAATTTAAATGTAACATGTAAATAGAGAACGTTGAAAGCGTTGACGAAGCGAAAACAAACAAAATCGAACACAACAAAAAAAAATACGACCGTCCGCAACGAGGAAAAAAACCGACAAACAAAAAAGCTAATGAAATTTGTAACAAACACAAATGAGAAAAAAAAAACTTTGTGTACACATTGCGGACACAAACTATTCTCATCGATTAGGAATAATTTGACAAAAAACAAACAAAACCAATCCAATTGCGATCGCATGTGATATGCTCGAACAAAACAATTCGAAAAAACGACGTGTACAAATAAAAACCACTCTGGACATAGGGCGAAAGAGCAAACCAAAAAAAAACGAAGAATAAAACACAAACATGGAAAAATAAGTTCAAATCCCGAGCTTTTTTTAGAACAACCGAAGGAAATATTTGATATGTGATGTAAATAAGTTACAGCTAGTGTGAAAACACATTGAATTTAGGGGTGCTTCCATTCAGATCCATGCTCAGCACCGCATTCTTTCATTCCGTCAACTTTATACATAAAAATGGTATGACAACAAATCAATCAATCGAAAAAGGGTTGGAAAGAAGTTGAATAAACATCAACATCAACAATGAGAGATAATCAAGGGGCGGCTTTCGGTTTTTGATCACTGTTTCGTTTTTGTTGTTTTTGTTATTAAGTTTCTTTTGTCTTTAATTCATAAGATCCGCCATTTGTGTGTTCATAATTAACATACTGTTTAACGATTTTACTATTAATACATATTAAGTAGACACAAAACACAACGATTTGAACGTTCAACTCTGCACGTTCGCTTCCATTTCAATGAAACGGTGAAACGGTGCGATCAATGATACATTCGCTAATTCACACTCACACACACACACACACACACACACACATACCAACCTATTTACATACAAACATTTGTGATTTCGATGATATTCTTGATTCAAAATCCGAGCTTATTCCCAAAAATGAATGCTAACACAACTTTAATCTAAACGACAACAATGCAGATCATTTGCAAATCTGAAACCCAAATAGCAATTAAAGTAACGTTTTTTTGTTGTTGCAAAATTACGAGTGACAACAGTCCTCAAATGGCGTTATTTCAATCGCTCCTGTATACGATAATAGAAATGTACGATTCAGTATTTGCTGCACAACAAAATGCATAAAATGCCATCAACGATGGCAAGACAATACGTTTGAAAGAGAAAAAACTCACACATTTTCACCGAAATGAATTGGATATTGATGAAAGACAGCATAGATTTAAAATTCAATCATTCCGAGCAACAAAAAAATATAGAATAATCTCAAATGTTCTCGCTCGTGATTACAACGACAAATAAGCCCAATGACGTGTATTCAAAATTTGAATCACGAAAAGCAGTATTTAACGCAAGAGAACTATGTAAAATGCTCGATTTGCAAACCAATTTCTATTTCGTCAATCTGATGAATTTCCAATGAATTCCATCAAGAAATAGGCACATATAATACGCAAAATTAGTACAAATTTAAAAATTACAATCCAAACGAGATACGTAAAATTCATTGTAATTTTTATTTATTGAATCATAAGATTTTTTTTTAATAATTTTTTTTTCTCTCTCTTGTTCTTGTGGACTAAGATAAGACATGATATACAAAACGCATACCCACACACAAACACAAACACACACACACACACACATACAAAATCATTTCAAGTAAAGTGGAGGAAAAAAAAAATTTTGTTAAAAAAAAAAAATCGATTGAATTTGCTTTAGTTGTGTAGAAATTAGTTGTATGAATACTATGTAAAGTTGTTTCTTTGTATTTACTACAATTTTATTTAAATGAAAATTAAGCGAAAGAGAAAAAAACGATGAAAAAAAAGAAACAAAAAAATGAAAATTGCAACAGAAGCCCTAAAAATTATACGATTTAATGATATTTTATTCTGTACATTTCTAACTTAACATGTAAAAAAACCCACATAACAACGAAAAGCATCCTTCAAACTGTTATATATATAAATATATATAATAATCATTAAATATCTAATCGTGTGAATTGAACATTAAGCTAAGATAGATGTAGTTTCTGTTCGACTTTCCTTCTCCATCCCCCGCTCCCCCTCTCTTTCTACAAATGAGAAAGTCTCTTGTTTATTATAAATATTTCCATGTCTTTTTAATTGTTTTGTTAGAACACAACACAACGAACACCTCTTTCTTCTCTATCAGAGCATTCTTGTATCTTTTGAAGGAAATTCTATTGGCTTAAACAATCGACAGATGACTACAATTGTTAATTAGTTTAAATTAAGATATATCTATATATATTATATATGAAAGAAAAGCGAAAAACTTTTAATTTAAATAAAAATCCATTATGATGTTGATTTTAAACAAGATGATTTTTTATTTCATTTCGTATTTGCCACCAACCAACCAACCAAGCTCAAGGTATTCAATGCTCGTACGGCACATTGGCTGGGCTACAGTGGTAGTAGCGGCAATGGCAGCGACATCAACAAATCAAACCTTTCGCAGATGTCACTGGATGCTCCGGAAAAGGATAACCGGAGTATTGTCGATGACGTACAACGACCCCAAACTCCCATCATATCATTTTTGGTATTTTATATATAAAGCTCTAGGGAGAGTATGTTTATATGTAATGACTTATTGTTTTGTCTATTGAGTGTAACACATAACGAGAAGGATTGCATACAATTGACGCAAGTCTCCTAACAACCGTCAACCGAACACATTTTATTTTGGATGCGAGAAGCAATGCGAAACGATTCACTTGTTCACACATGCTCGAGCACGCAAACACACACACACACACACACACAAGCACTAGCACAAACACACACATACCCACTTGGCGTGTCCATGTGTTGAACATTGTTCCGGCTTTTTATTTACTATGTCGGAATTCCGAGTTCGAATGAAGCACGCCGCCGTTTGTCATGAACATTTCCTGGGTAGTGGTGTGCAAACTGCGCTTCTGCGCAACATCGTGGTTCGATTGTGTGTTGTCGCTCGCTCACTCTAACCACTTACTTTGGTCGGTCGGTCGGTCGGTCGCTCGTTCGATACACACCATTCAAAACAATAAATTGTGCGTGGAAAAACACATGCGGTGAATAAATTTTCTAGTTCTTTCGTTGCGATGCCACCTAAACTAATCGATGTACAATGCATAATCATGTAAACGCTGCCATATTGATGTGTGAAAATTTGCCAGTTGCAAAATAGCACATACGTTATATACACAATTGCCTCGCACTCGATAATAGCTCTTAGACGAAAGTGTCAAAGTGATATAGAGAGAAAGAGAGTGTGTACTTGGCTCGAGACAATGGAGCCGTCCATCGCCTTTTTAGACATCAATGTCTGAACTCAACATTCGATTGGATTTGAGATGGTGAATTATTCATCGCGATTATTTGCAATTTTAATTGAGCCAAAAGGAACATCAATGTCGTTGACGGCTTGAAACTGTTCGAGCAACCAAGCAAATATGCGCAATATTCCATCGACTACTTTCGAACCGAATACCATTGAGTCATCGGTTATTTGTTGATGAAAAATGAAACGGGACTTTTCCTTTGAAAAGGTCGACTTTTAACAATGAGTCAAGCTTCGAATTAGAATGTAAATTTTGCCTCTTGAATTGAAAAATAGCCGAAGCCCCAAAACATGCAGGACATCAATCGAGGCCCCATTTTCATGTGACAAAGGTGATTTTCTCGAACAAGCAAAAGAAAAATAAATTCAGTTTCAAAACGCCGTCAATGTCCGTTCGATTTTATTCGTGTAACCAACTTGAATGTTTGAAGACGGACATCCGGAGGTGTTTATTAGCTTGATACAGTAAATGAACTTCTTTTATCATTTGGGAAGTTCACTAAATACGACCCATGTCTCGATTCGACGACGACTAATAAGATGACTTGCAATTCAATTGACGATGTCCAGTTGAAAATTGAAATAAAATCCATTTGATTATGGGAAGGATTATCTAGTATGACATGGGTCACATAGCAAAATCCATAAAGTAATATCCGTTTTCGGCGGGGTGGAACGTTTTTTTTGGCTGCCATTGTTGTTATTGTTGTATTTTCACTGCTGTTCACTGTTCGCTCATTCATTTTGCCCGTCTTCATCGTCGCTGTTGCTTTTGTTGTTGTGCGGCCGCAAACTCGGCAACGATGCATGTGGCAAACGGGCACAAACGCACATGTAAATAAACGTGCTTTTAGCTGCACAATATGGCCCTTTTAGCATTTGTAAATAACAATGCTGTGATTTCGCATAAGCCGAATGGATTCGGATATGGAAATGAAGCCGAAAGAGCAAACGAGCAAGCGTTGTGCTGCTGTGGAACCGTTATGGAATTGTTTGGCTCGGAAATTTTCCATTTCATCAAGTAGCTGTTTTTCACAGAGTCGTTTCGCTTAGCAGCCGAAAAAAAGAGAAGAAATGCCGTTGATATCGGGTATCTTACACATGCATGACAAGCAAGTGTGCACATGATATATCAGGCGCATTTTATCAAAACCCACCTATCGATCTCTATCGCACTTCTAGCTCCCCCACATCACATTTCACTTCGTTTCGGTGTAGCACATTAACATATATGTACATACGCTCTGCTCGCTCGCTCACTCACTCGTCCGTATTTGGCCATATTCTATTTTGCACCCTCGACAGCACAGAGGTCGAATTAAGATATAAACAGACTACCTCGTGTATATAAAATAATCTCGCTCTGGTATTTCATGCACGCAACACTCCAGCATTGAATACATTGTTTACAACAAGTCTTACTACATAGCGGCAGAAACAGAAGCAGCAGCCGCCGCTATATTCGGCTCGATTACAATCCGACGAAATTCAACGGAAAAAAGGTTACAACATCAGCACCAAAGCTCGCCACTATTTTGTCCACATCGACGGCGCGCGTTGAGCCATTCATTCGTCAGCGTACCGAGTGACAAGTTTGTGTGTGAATCATTTCGAAAAGTAAGTCGCATTTTTTTCATTCCAACCGTTTCTTAGTACACTTTCTTCGCATCGGACTTTCATTGCATTTCGGTAAGTGTTTCAATATTCTAATCAATTGCAACTTTTTTCTTTGACACTTTCGCAAGAAATTTATGATGAAAATTTCGAGATTGTATCTGTTTAAATTTTGAAAAGAATTGGGATGGAAATGGATAAATATGTCTTTGTGACGGTTACTTTATTGGACGATTTTTTTTTTCGCCTTCAATCATTGCTATGCTTTCTTAGTTAATGACCTTTATTTGTACTTTATTCAACTTTTCGAGCCGGAAATACACAACGCAAGTGTTTCCGCAGAGAAAATGCGTGCCTGCCCATACATAAAAAATGGAATAGAAGATATTTCACTTGAATAATTCTGGTGATGATTTTGTGCGTGAAGAGAGATTTTCCACCGCTGTTGTCTTCAACATCGCCATCACCACCGCCGCTGCTGGTAAAATCATCATCCGAATCCACAGCACACACTTCACTGACGACATTCAGTGGCTCAAAGTGTGAAAATAATTGCGTTTTGCGTACGAATTACCCAAACTTACGACATACACAAAAGCCATTGTTTCGAAATGGTGATTGTAGTGGTGCGTGAATCGCAACCGAGAAACCAAAAAGTTGTAGCAGCGTCTCAAGTAAATAATAATGCGTGTGTATCAATTTTAGTGTCAATTAACCTCATGTGTCTAGCTGTGTGGTACGTATATATAAGCATGCGTCCGTGGTGCTCATCTCGTATTCACCAAGAACGAATGGAAACGAATGAGCCGAGCAATAGCGCATACGCAGCAGCAGCAATATAAGCATGTTGCCGTTGCCGTATTGGCCAACGATTGAACTCTTACGTTCTACGGTGACTGAGACCAGCTCATATTAGCCAAGACGTATTTTCAAACTCAAATATACACATAGATATATCTCTAAAATGTACCGAAAAAACATACACAGCAACCGAATCGCCAATAACCAATGGCCAGACCGCAATAAAAGGAAGCCAAAAAACACAAAAGGAGCTTAAAAATACCATCTAAATATAATATACTAAAATATCAAGTTGGTTCAAATCACTTGTAAACTGCACACACAGAGCGAAACGTACAAGCAACATTATCAGTCAGTCGACGTATAAATTTGGAATTTTTCCTCGTTAATTTGAAGCTCTTATTATTGGGAGCTCTTTATTGAGTCTTGCGCAATATTTTTAAATCCTGATTATGGGCGAATTCGGCAAAACGAAAAATGCGTGTTGATTCGACACACGATGTACATCGTACATATGTATACGTGACGCGTCGTTTTCCGAAAACAACACAATCTGTGCAAAACCGTATAGCGTTGAGCATGTGTTTCCAACTGAATTATTTACTCGATTTGTCGCGCGCACACCGCTGTATTGGTTCGTTCTATTCGTCTCTGTTTCTCTCGGTGTCTCTTTTGCTCGTTCATTTTTCTCTCTGGCCATCATGATGGTTCCAAACGTTTAGATAAAACCTACCGAGCACATGAAATTTCCTTCTCGTTCGAAATGAAATGAGTTCGAATGGAATGTCTCTTTCGGTTTTTCTCTTCTCTTTCCGTCTTTTTTTTGAATTGCTACCGATAAAGTGCATCCAATATTTCGTCGCTGTTCGAAAGCCAAGGAGCAGTGCATTGCCTTGCGCATTGCACATATATGCACGTACATATCGAAAATGCAGCACTTATACACGTCCACCAAAAGACTGATGCACTTTTGCACCGTATGCTTGTGTGTGTGTGTGTTGCAGTGTCACTATGTGTATGATTATCATTTGAACAGTTTGAAGTACTGCAGTTAATGGTAAGCGTTCATGCACGGGTCAGGGTCGAATTAAGGAGAAATAGTAACTGGAAACACTGAGCGAGCGCATTTTGCTTTTAACTCTGGCAATTGAAAACTATCTCTGGGTGTAGAAATTCAAACCGACCATAGAATTCGATCTAACCAAGATATATTCCCCGAGACTCTGTGAGTATAAAGTGAAAATGATAACGAAAACCAAGGCAAACCGCACATCAGCAATTACATTATGTTTTTGTCTCAGCTTATAATGATCATCATAAAATGGATTTTCAAGAACAGAATGAAGCAGAAACAAAAATCGCGTATTTATTTCTGCTTCTTAGCCTTCACTTCTAGTATGTTCACAGCATGAATTCGGCTGTTTAGTCTGGATGTCAGTCAAAAGCGCGTGCCTTTATTTAAAAATCATCAATTTCGTTGATTAAATTATTTGTGTTCTGTGCACAAACAGAGTATGGGAAGAGAAAGACTCGAGAATGGAGAGAATTGGGAAAGCAAGAAAGAGAGAGAAAGA